AATCTAGCAGTTAATTGAAAAGATTCTCACCCTGACTAACTATATATACTGATACCTGTGAAATAAGCTACTGCACTGCAGATGGTATTTTGTAATAGTAGTTTCATGCTGGGGGTGCCTGTCATTCTGGTCTTCTGAATACGGGCTGCTTGTCTTGACATGCCATTTGCTGCTGTATTGTCTCTCGGGTAGATGATTGTTCAAAAAGAAGGGGGTGGTGAACATAATTGTATACATTTGTACAACAGTGTATTTCTCTAGTGTAAGATTAGTTAATGGACTTTTCAACAAAATAAGCAATCTATTATCAGTGTCACTAAGACAGAGCGATGTTATTTATAAACATATTTTTCAGTGAATTCCCCAAGGCCTATTAATGCAGGTAGTTTCAATGCTTTATCCTCCAAACCCTGCACTGAAATACAAACAAGCTACCACAATTACCATCAACAGAATAAATTATTAATATAACTATGTTATTAATTAATCCAAACAGTATGTGCAAAGTACCTTCAGTGTATAAGGTTCATTCTCCCTTCTTTATCCTGACTGCTCTTGGGGTATATAGTGGATACAAAAGCATGTTTGAGGGGGCCTGCCCCTTAGCTCAGTTCTTTAAGTGGCTGCTTCAACAAAGCAGTCAGGTTCAGGTTGCTGTGGTTTGATCCCACAGCTCAAGCCAGCCAAACCTGCCCTGAAGGCATTCGGAGAAAAAAAAAACATGTTTGACAGATAATCTGTTCATGAAAAATTGAAAGTTTAGTACATTCTCTTTTCAAAAGTTCATAGAAAGAAACAGTGTATGATGGTACATAAATGAAAGTAGACTTTTGCTGTTTTGATCACAGAAACTGCAAATTGATTTCACATCCCAATTTTTCTTCAGAAATTGATATTATAAATTTTACAAAGGTTTGCTATTGTGAAATTAATATTATTTGAAAAACTACAAAGAAGATGTAACTTAATTCATGAGACACACAGTAGGACTAATTCTGCTAAAAGACTACACCAGTATTTTCTCAAAATTGTGAAAAATAAATTGTTAACATGCTATAAGATTAAAGGGAGGATAAATATACCCTTAATGTATATTTTTCTTTCTTTTATTTTGAAAAGATAGCACAGATATACAGATATATTTTATAGAATTTTCAAACACATTTGAAAGATAACTCAGGTTGCTCTCATGGGCAATATGGTAGCCACTAACCGGGTTATTTTCACCTTAAGGCAATACTGGACTGTACTGCCACAGGGCAGTGTCTTCTACTAATGTTTGATTGAGTTTCACATAGAATCACTGAACACAGCATGTCTAGCTACATTAAGTGTAGTTATCTTCTCACAATATAGTTAGTTGCTCATGATTTTATACAATGTTCTTATTAATCATTTTGTCACCAGTCACATAATATCTGGAGCTAGATACATGAAGCCTTAGTAAGTAATGAGGTCAACAGTTCCTGACCCCTCTTTCTTTAACTTCCAGGTAGCTTAACCTTTTCTTTCCTTTTTTTTTTAATTTTACGAAAGGGTCTACAGGGCGTTCAGGATCTCACTACTAGATCAGACTCGTAGTGATCTGCCTGTTTACAGCCTCCCAAGAGCTGGGATTATAGGAGCGTGCCACCATGCCCAATCTCAATTCCTTTTCAGCATGTCCCTGGCGCAGTGGGGCAGCACATCAGGCCCAGGGATCGAACCTGTGGCCCTTGCAACTGCTTACAGGTGCTTTAATCCGCTGAGCTATTTGGCTGGTTGACTTTTTCTTTTTTAACAAAGCTAAGATCACTTAGTGCACCACACTTCAACACAGCCTATCTGTCATTGGTGTTTGTCCTACTCAGCAATTGATGCCTGTGCTGCAACATACAAAGAGAGTGTTAAGCTCAAACTAAATCGGTGGATATTTGTGACACAGTGGCAACCGCAGTATCACACAGTGGGATGTGATTCATAGTTCTCTGAATTTCATTCTGAATTTGTAGAAGGAAAAGTGCTCTGCTACTAGAGCATATGGTCATCCTGGCCCTTTTAATGTGCTTCAGCAAAGAAGTGATTAAATGAAAGTTGAAACACAGAAATGCCAAAAATAATACATCAGTGCTCTGCTCTTGAAAAGTTGTAGACAAAAGATCAGAGTTATGATAAGTTTGTTTCGATTTACTTCACATACTTATGTTAATACATAATATATTCCCAAGCTCATATCTTGTATTATGTTTCTACATATAATTCCTTCTTTTTAGTTTCCTCCACATTTAGTGATAGTAAAGAAAGCAATAAAGTGATAAATGCATTCATAATCATTATATTTTAATTCATAACTAATTTTGAGAGATGATAAAAAGGAGCAAGTGATTTATTGGTGTAAAATGCTTGTTCTACTGAGCTATCTCCCTGGCCCAGGTTTTCCTTTCTGATGCATAAAATTCTAAAAATGTTAGAGGCTGAGAAGTTTTCCATGTGCAAACTAAATTTTTTCTCTAGTACCAAAGCACCATAACTAGCTTGCTTTTCTATTTTTACCTAAGTTACAATCCAAATATCTATTCACCCATTGTCATCTCCGTTGCCTTACTTTGGCTAAAGTGTAATGTTAAGTCTTTAAATGGTAAGATCATCTCCTTCTAAAATCACTTTCATAGACTATGCATACATGTTGTAAGTATGCAGTAATCCTAATGAGCAAGAAACTCCAACAACACAAATTCATGAATTTCTCATGAATTAGTGAATAACATTTAAGGAGCCCTGTTGTGTAATATACAATGCTCTAAAATGCAGAAAGAGGGCCAGGGAGATAGTTCAGTGGCATAAGCACCTGCCTAGCAAGTGAAAGGTCCCACATTTGATCCCTGATATCAAAAAAAAGTGAAGAAAGAAAGGTGGCATAGAATTTAGCAAGGCTTATATAAAAAGGTTAATATCCATCAGGAAGCTTTGTCAGTTTTTTAGTACTTTTTTAAATGATAGCATCTGTTCATTAAAGGCTCTTCTTAATACCTGCAAAAAGGCATCTGTTAACCCTAGATCATTTTTAATTGTTTTAGATTTATAATAAAGTTTACATGTCCAAATGATACATTTTAACAATTGGTAAAAGCATGTAATGAAGAGGGCATTTGAATAAAATGAACTTTAAGTTAAGAAGAGAAGTGTCCACATAAACATGGTCATTGAAGACATTTGTCAGTTCCAGAACCTTAGGAGTTTAATGTATAATCAACCCTTTGGAGACCAAATTGCTCTGTATTGCATGGGGAAAAGTAACTTTCAGTAAAAACTAAAGGTCGTCAGTTGGTCATTTATTGTCTTAAAGGGCGTGTTTTATTATAAATGTCAATTCCACAAAATTATGTGTCCTGTAATACATAATTATGTTCAAAATTGCTTTTGAAATCTATTATTAACAGTTAACAGTGAATATTCTTAAAATAGTTATTACTCTTGGCCTTAACACAAAAAGCAATAATGGAGGTATTTTAGGGAGTTAAAAGCTGCAAAGTATTGGCCTCTGAATAAAGTCACTGCAGGTGTGTTTCTTAATGGGCTGTTAATTTTATAGCGGGTGAACACAAAGGACAGAGACCATGTGTGTTTTTAAACTGTTTGATGTGGAGACAGAGTTGATGGCTGAAAAATATAAAGGCGGCCTGAAATGAGGCCAAATTGAACTTTCCCTCCTGAGGTGTAATCCTCCTTCCTTAAAATTAAGGCAAATTGATTCTCTTTCTTGTTATATTCCTTACATCCTCACTGTGAAATAGCAAAGCATTCCCCAGAAACATGTATTAAGCCAGAAGACAAGAAATAATTAGAAAATATGACAATAAATACCAAACCTCTGATTTTCCAAAGTCAAAGTCAACATTCTTCCTCACAAGCTAACTCCTTTGGGTCTCTCATATTTGCTATTACCACTGTCCAAATCACCCAAAGTCACAAACAGCAACTCAGTGTTGATCCTCCCTCTTTCTCCTCTAAGGATAATCTTCAATGCCAAGTCCCATGATAGTACTTTGGTGATTCATTCATTTAATAATAAAATAAATATGTATTGATCATATACATCATCTGCCTATATTTACTTTCATGCTTCAAAGTGTGCCATACAAAGCAATGAACAAACAGCCTCAATCGAAACTTTTGTAGAATTTACATTCTATCAGGAGAAACAAGCAATGAACAATAAATACATAAGTAAAATGTAGGGTGTGTTATATGGTGACAGGAACTAGGGAGAAATAAAATGCAATGACATAGAGATGAGGACTAACCCTTCATGAAATCCTTTTTCCCACCTTTGAACAACCAGAATATATATTCTAATTTTATTTTATTTTATTGAGAAACAAATAGCAATGAGACAGTTTCAAAACTGATTAATAGGACAGTTTCAATAATTAATACATTGTACATTGTTCTCTTCTTAGTGGTTATCCATAGTACAAGATGCAGACATGATATCCTGTCCAAACACTATTAGTACAAATCTTTCTTCTCATTGAATTAAGAGAGAGTTGCCATATATCTATCCTAACTATTCTGTATATACAGATGCACAATGGTCCTTTCTTGACAATACATTTATTTGTATACTTGTCCTACTTCCTCTGTTATTTTCTTATCTCCATATTGTCAATAACAAAAGAGCATCTCACTCATTTTTGTACTTCTTGTAGCTACTAAGACAAAACTCATAAATAATGTTTGAAATGACTCAAAATGAATGAGGTAAATGTAAGAGTAGTAAGTTTAAGAGAAAGGAGAGTCTGACATAGTGGCTGTTCATGGAAGGCTACTTAGTTGATACCTAATTCTTGAAAAGCTGTGAAAAATACCTGTAGTGGATGGGAAGAAAAAAATCTGTGTGATTTGATTTGCGATATCTCTTATTGAAAAGGTAAAATATATTGCCTTATACATTAAGATAATATATAATTTTCTCTATCTCCCAAACCAGTGCTTCAGAAGGGGCGAGCAATTGACACCGGAGAAGTTGATATTGGTGCACAGGTCATGCAAACCATTCCACCCGGCTTATTCTGGCGTTTCCAGATTACTATCCACCATCCCATATATCTGAAGTTTAATATTTCCTTAGCCAAGGACTCGCTTCTGGGAATATATGGCAGAAGAAACATTCCACCGACACACACTCAGGTATTTGATGTTATCATTATTTTCTTGATCTCTTTTTGAGGATTTTGGGTGGAACACCTCAGAGGTTGTGATGTGGGAAGTTTGTAGGTGTCACTATCTGGGGGCAGAAGTATCTTCATAACAAATAAATACAGTAATCATATTCAAACTAATTAAAGCATGGAATGGAGTTGGAAGGAATAGCATTTATTAGATCAAATTTAGAAAGGAGAATTGAAGAAAATACTCTTTAAGTGTGGCCTCTGCTTGCTGGCATGTAGTGACTCTAGGTTTTCCAACCTTTCCTGTTGCATAGATTTAGTCCCATCATACCTTTGATGGGTTCCAAACATCCTTCCTCTTGTCTCAGTGAAGTAATACACACCAAAAAGAAGTTGATGGGACATAAGTAAGAAAAGGCAGGTTGTTGTAGTGGTAAAATCTTTTCTTTGCTACTACTAGTAAATCACTCCAATATTTAAAACCTCTGTAGTTTACATAACCCTTCCCTAAACCTTAGTCACCTCACTACCCTTGTATCTTTTCATTTATTCCTTCCCAACATTAATCCATTTGGAACCCTAATTCACCCAAGAAATAGTGAAAAGAATAAAGGGCCGGCCAGATAGCTCAACGGATGGAAGTGCCTGCTTAGGCAAGCGCCAGAAACTCGGTTCAATCCACAGTGTGCCATGCCAGCCCCACTCCCGGGGAGCACTGAGAGGGTGACTGACACTGAGTGTGGTGGCAGGCGCCTCTAATCCCAACACTTAAGAGGCTGAAAAGAGGAGGATCACTGTGAATCTGATCTGTGTAGTGAGATCCTGTAAACCCTGTACTGAATACAATAGTAACAAGAATAATAATACCAACAATAATAATAATATGGAAGGAAGGAAGGAAGGAAGGAAGGAAGGAAGGAAGAAAGAAAGAAAGAAAGAAAGAAAGAAAGAAAGAAAGAAAGAAAGAAAGAAAGAAAGAAAGAAAGAATCAAACAAATCAAACACCTTGGTCATGCTTTCCTCTGCACAGATTTTCCTAGAGTTAAAATTTCAACTTCTGTGTCAGACTAGGTAAGAAATCAGGATACCATTCAAACTGTTTTACAAAAACTATTTAAAGAACTATGTGCCATGTATATGCAATGACTAGAAGAAGAGGAAGTATTTGAAAGTTTAAGTATGTTACCCAACATGTGGCAACATGAATACATGATAAATGTTCTTGAATTTTCAACTGTTCATTTATTTATTTTGAAAACTGATTTTTTTATTTGTAGAGAGGTCATAATAACATTTTTCAAGAGACTATATGTTTTTAAGTATCGTTTGCATAAAATGCCAAGATCCTTTTGTATAAGGATTTTTTCTTAGTTTCTTTTGAACAGTTATTTAGAATATTCTGAAACTGAATGGCATATAACATTTACAAATATAGTGGTATGTTTTTTTCAGAATTCATATGGTTTTTTCTTTAAATATACTTAATAATTAATAATCTTTGAATCCATTTTGCCTACCTCCAAAGCAAAAAGATAGGCCATACGTCAATTCACATAGGAGGTATTTATCAACCAGGTGTAAAAGTTGTGATTCATATTTTTATTTGTGTATCTTCCAGTTCGATTTTGTAAAGCTTATGGATGGCAAACAACTTGTCAAGCAGGACTCCAAGGGCTCTGATGACATGCAGCACTCTCCCCGGAACCTGATCTTAACCTCCCTTCAGGAGACAGGGTTCATAGAGTATATGGACCAAGGACCTTGGTATATGGCATTTTACAATGATGGGAAAAAGGTGGAGCAAGTGTTTGTGTTAACTACAGCAATCGGTAAGATGCCTCAGCTATTATTTTGAATTTAGAGTAGAACTTTAAAAAGACATATGTGCTGAAAGTAGCACAGATGTTATTTAAGCTTATTACTCATTCTACCTTCAGTCAAACTTCAGGATAGGTCTTGATGAGAAAAGTTTGTTATTATTGATATGATTTTCATGTTACATAAGATTTTTAAAATTCTCTATAATTTACTGTTACTTCAGGATACTTGTTACGCATCTTTTTATATGTTTTCAACAAGAATAACTCCTTGGGTAACATTATTATTACCTACTCTATGTAGGTGATCAGCCAGAGTGAAGAAGCATAGAAGCAAGAGAAGCTCTGCTAATTCAAATTCTATCATAAAAGAAAATTCAAATAAATACTTTGTAAAACAGAAAAGGCTGGCATCAATACACTTCTTTAGAACAACTGATTCCAGGAGCATTAACGCTGCAAAATACAACATGAGAGTATTTAGCAAAGAATATTGAGGATAATAACTTCATCATTCAAAGCCCTTTCTTTCAGATTTTTTTACTTTAAAAATCATCACAATGGCTCTTTCGGTGTTCTCAGAACTTTATAAAATATGTTCCTCTTAAATACAATGCCTACACACATCCTTATTCACTGCCACCCTAGTTAGTCAGAGACATCTAATTCTTTTGTCATGTTTGGGTAAATTAATTCCCCATGATCTTTTGTATGAATAAAGCTGGGGGGTTTTAAGCAATTTTAGAGTCCTGAGGGTAAGCAACTCATAGACACAGTATTGTAGTGTGTAAATTTTCCTAAAACACATGTCTTTTAAAAGAAAGGAAAATGTTTTACATCTGTCAGTTTTCTCTACAACTCTCATCACTTTATCCTTTAGTTAACCTGTTCAGCCATATGTTTAGGAAGATGTGTTGACTGTTAATAGATATACCATCTGCTCTTTGTAACAATTGTGTTCTATTTTTACTTAATACTGAAGACCTTGAGTGAGTAGAAGATGGTATGCTAGCCATAAGATTATTAAAACTTTCCTCTAAAGTAATCACAAAGGCAGTACAACTTCACTGATAATTTTTCCCCTAGAGAAAATGGCACTGATAATACATCTTTGGAAGCTAACCTATTTGGTAAATTAGAAAGTAAAATATGTTATGTTATTGTTTTACTATTCGCAGACTCAGTATGGCAAATTCAATGTATGGACCTTTCATATTTTTCTACCAAGGCTCAGTTTTGATAATATGAGTTTCAATTAATTAAGAAAGGTTGAATTTCTCCTAGGTAATTAGAGAAATTAGAATGTGTAAAATATTTGTGATTTTTTTTTCTCTTTCTGTTATTTTAACACCTCAGCTCAATTTAAAAACACTAATTGATCAACCCTTCAAAAATCATAGTCCCAAGGCCAGGAAGATAGCTCAGTGGAATAAGCGCTTCCCTGGCAAGCACAAGGGCCTGAGTTCAATCCCCGGTTCCATGAAAAAAAAAAAAAAAGAAAATCATAGTCCTGGAAATATGCTTCATGCTTTTCCCTGCACTTCACTTCATCTAATAAAATATCCAACCTTTGATTCTTCAGTCCTTTCATACAGATGTGAAATTTTCAGTTTTATATACAACATATTTGCCTATTGATTATTAAGTCCCTTTTTTTACTTTCTGTGTTATCCTTTTGAGATTAGAACCAACAGAAATGCTTCTATTCTTCCATTTAAAAAAATCAAGCAAATTTCAGAAAACAGTCAAAAGCATGTAAGATGCTTATCGTAAATTCTCCCCAATAATTATCTTATGATTTTATAGTCTAGAGTATAAAAAGGTTATATATTTCATTCTAAAAGGAAAGGTTTCTCTTTTTTGGTGACACATACTTTTAATCTCAGCATTGAGGAGGATAAGGACAGGAAGATCACTCCAAATTTGGGCCAGACTCGGATGTGTAGCCACTGTAAGGCCAGTATGAAATCTGTATAGCAAGACACTCTAGAGGAGTTAATGCTTAATGTTTTTCCTCTCTACCTTTTAATTTTTTGACAAATTTTGCATTCTTATAGCTGGTAATCTGAACAACTAAACTGAAAACAACAATAAGTAATATAACGACGACTGTGGAATTTCTATCATTTTATTTAGCGAATTTCTGTATAGTTTCTAAAGAGATTTTCTTTACTATTTTTTATTCTCTTTAAAAATTAAAAATAAATAGAAAATTAAAAGTAAAGTTGGTGTTAATTTGTTATAAGTGTTTCTCATTCATTCAGTTCATCATATTAGAATCAGTTGATCCTAACTATTTTATCTACTAATAACAAGGATCAAAATAAAATTAATAATTTACATTTACTAAGTATTAAATCGCTGATATTAATGTATATTGTTTCCAGTACTGCAGGTAGGGTTATCACTAACCCCTCATCTCTGAAAGTTTGCTTTGTTATGTAACACCACTTCTGGAGTGCTACTCTTTCTCAAACATTTCTAAGTTAACTTACATACAGTTAGTTTGTTGGATTCTCATCACAACCGTGATGACTCAGACATAGTAACACTATATTACAAATAAGGAAATGGATATGAGGAAAATGTCTTTAGCAAGTTCTCTCAGACAGAAAGTTGTAAAATTGATATTTGAGACCCAGTATATCTGAATCCAAAGCACATGCCCTTTAGACTATATTCCTTCTATAGGATTATTTATTACCTTTAATTTCTCCCATGAGAAAACCTGCCAGAAGCAAAACCTATCATCAGTGAAGATGTGAATACTAAGGAGCTTTCTACTTCAGAATACAAACAGGGTGTTAAACATATAACCTCAAAATAATTCTTGACTTGGATAAACTGGAGTCTTAGAAGTGATTCTGAAATAAGATTTAAAAGGTAAAAGGCAAAGCTTATTGAAAGCCAACATAAATAGAAAAATGCTTTGTTTTTATCAATAGTAGTTAATGTTTTCCTGTTAAAACCATTTTCCTCTTGGAGTTCCTAGGGCATCCCAAAATATCTGTGATACTCGGGTACGTGACAATTTCAAACATTATTGTCTTCTCATTTGCATTTGCTGGGGTTAAGCTCTACATAGCAGCATAGACCCAGCAATAGTACTTAAATAAGTCAATAAGATGTACAGATTAACAATAGCATTGTTATACAGAAACAACAAACTTACTGAGAGAAAAATTAGGAAAACTATAACCTTCACTATAATGTCCAAAAAAATGAAATACATAGGAATCAATCTAACAAAGAAATTAAAAGATATCTAGATTGAGAACTATAGTACTCTGAAAAAAAAGGGGTCAAAAAGGATCAGAAAATGGAAAGATATTCCTTGCTCAAGGATAGGAAGAAACAACATAGTGAAAATGGCAATACTCCCAAAACCATTACAGACATTAAATGAAATCCTGATCAAAATACCATTAGCACAACTCTCAGAACTAGAGAAAATTGTCCTAAAATGCATTTGGAAACAGAGACTTGGAATAGCAGAAGTGTTTCTGGGCTACAAAGGCAAGGGAGGAGACATCACAATCCCTGACTTGAAATTATATTACAAAACTACTGCGATGAAAACAGGCATGGCACTGGCAACAAAACAGACCTGAGGAAGGTGGAGCAGATTACCAGATACAGACACAACTACAAACACATTCAGTCACCTGATCTCTGACAAAGGAGCCAAACATGTTCACTGAAAGAAAGCTAGCCTCTTTAATAAATGGTGCTGTACGAACTGGCGCTCTACATACCAAAGCCTAATGCTAAACCCATGTACATTAGTGTACACTAAACTAAAGTCAAAATGGATCAAAGATATAAATATTGAAACAGAGACATTAACTGTGCTAGAAGAGAAAGTAGGTGCATATCTTTATTTCACCAGGGATCGAACTCAGGGCCTTGCTCTTGCCAGTTAGATATTTACATCGCTGAATTATTCTCCCTGCCCAGAAAGTAGGCAAAAATCTTGAAGACAGAAACTTCATGTAGGCAGAGACATCATGAACAAAACTGAAACTGCAGGGGAAATAGTTCAAACAATCAACAACTGCAGTCTCATTAAAAAGCTTTTGTACATCAAAAGAAATCACCAACAGAGGAAAAAGACAACACACAGATTGGGAAAAACTTTAACCAATTGTCACTCAAAAGACTTACATCTTGTAGTTAGGATAGATATATAGTTACATTCTCTTCATGAATAGAGGGATTTGTTCTAAGGGTGTTTTTAAATAGGATATCATGTCCACATCTTATACAGCAAATAACCACTAGGAAGAGAGTATGCAATGTGTTAATTATTGAAACTGTCCTACCAATTTGATTTGAAACTGTCTCATTGCTATTTGTTTATCAATAAAATTATGGGAAAAAAATAAAATAAATAAAAAGAAAAAAAAAGCTTACATCTAGAACATATAAAGAACTGAAAAAGTCAGGCCCCAAATTCAAAGACCCAATCCAAATATGGGCATCTTGAGATGAATATGCACTTCTCAGAGGAAGAAATACAAATGACAAATAAATATATGAAAGAATGTTCAAAATCATTGCTCATATGGGAAACGCAAATTAAAACAATACTGAGATTCTATCTCACCCCAGAAAGAATGGCTATCATCAAGAAATCAACCAATAACAAATACTGAAGGGGTTATGGAGAAAAAGGAAGCTTTCTCCACTCTTCGTGGGAGGGCAGACTGGTCCAACCACTATGGAAATCAGTGTGCAGATTCCTCAAAAAGCTAGGATTAGTAGTCTCAATCAGCCTGGATATTGCCCTTCTGAGTATCTTCCCAGAAGAATTAAAAGTGTCATACCACAGTGATATATGTGCATCTGTTCATAGCAGAACAGTTTGTAATAGTTAAATCTTGGAAGCAACCCAAAAGCCCATCAACCAAGGAATAGGTAAAAGAGATTGGTCTTTTTATACAATGAAGTACTACTGAACCATAAAGAAATATATACTCAAGACTTTTATAGGTAAATGGATGCGACTTGAGACCATAATCCCAAGTGAAGTCAATCCAACTCATATGTGTAAACAACATATTGTCTTTCTGGTGTGAAAAACAGAAAGAGTAAATAAGGTCTAAAATGTACAATAGATATTGTGAAATAGACAGAAATTATTCAAAAGGAAAAAGAAACTATGATGGAGAAAAAGGAAAGGACAGGCATAACACCCAACCAGTTATAATAGTATCTTTTAGTTTGTTGAAAAGGAAGGTTTGTGCTAATATTGATTGGAATAATTTTTATGCCCATATGTTGTGCTCCCATAACAGCATGAAATGTATTAACTGCTGCTATTCTCCTATTATTTTGTTATGAAATTTCATATCACCTTTTCCCCATAAAATAAAAAGATGAAGAAACAAAAAACAAGTAGAGATTTTTATTTATTTTGATAGTAAATTTTATTAAATATTTTTAAACAATAGTTGCATTCTAACATGGCTGCTTCTAAGAAATTGTCAGTGGGATCTGGTGTGAAACTACCTTCAAGTTTATTTATCTATCTGTTTATTTATTTATTTGGTACAGGGTCTCACTATGCAACTTGGACTCTTAGTGATCCTCCTACTTGAAGCCTCCCCAGGCTGGGATTGCAGGTGTGCACCACCACGCCCAGTCTCTGGCAGGCTCAGCCTGCTCTGGGAGCAGGGCTGGTGTGGCATGCGGTGCTGGAGATCCATCCTAGGTCCCTCTGCTTGCCTAAACCTGCCTAACCAGGTGTTTTAGTCCCCTGAGCTAGCTCACTGACCCTCTTCAGTTATATTTACTTTACTACAAATTTCCTCCATTCTGTCAGAATGACAAGTACTGTTTGGCATAAAAGCTTAAATATGAAAAAAGAAGAAAAATTTTCTATCTCTCAATAAAAAACTACTCTCTATATTTTTAATGATCTTTCTTAAAATAACTAATGTCATGAAAACAATCAATACGTTAATGAGTTAACAAAGATTGGCCCTTGTCTCCATGTTACATTCTAGTCAGCTCAGTTATATTTCCTTTTATGTTATGCGTCACTTGCTTATTGGGTTCAGTTTTTCAACATAGTAATCAGTGGACAGAACATAAACTTTCAAAAGGCAATCTGCATTATAGAGTTGAGATTCATCTGCACTTATTGATGTAAGAGTGGTTATCCATACAACCACTGGATTCATTCTCACCTTTCCAAAAGTCCCTCAGATAGATTAAATACCACTTCCTTTCTCTTGCCTTTAATCTTCCCAAGAAAAAGCTTCAACATAGAGATCACCAGTTCTCCAACTATGGAACATTACTATTATAAAGCATTGTTTTTCTATTCTTGAATATGTGAGGACCTGCAGGTTCAGTAAGACTTTTTTTAAATGTATTTAGTACAGGGTCTACAGAGTCTCACTATGTAGTTCAGACTCGTAGTGATTCTCCTGTTTGCAGCCTCCCAAGCACTGGGATTACAGGCACACACTACCACACCCAGTCTCAATCGCCATCTCAGTGTGCACCCCCCCCGGGGGGGGGTGGCACAGCAGGCAGGGGATCAATTCTCAGTCCCTGAGTCTGCCTAAGCAGGGTCTTTAGTCCAATGAGCTCTCTGGCCAGCCAGTGTTTTTTAAAATGTAGGTTATTGTCCTTCATAGCTTAGAGATTGGATTAAGTTGATATGGAGCTAAATTCCAAGAATTTGTAATGTGATGAGCCTAATGATAGAAATGATTCAGAGGTCACAGTTGTAGAAATGCTTTTTCTCAATGCTCATTATGAAGTTGCACTCACTCAAAAACAGATGCTGGGACCACCTCCTAGAATCTCTCCTAATTGTAAATAGCTTATCCAAGTGAAACTTGGTGAAGCAGATAATTTGAATTTAAAATGGAAATTAGGTGCATAAGAAAAGTGTGAGTTTAATAAGCCAGAGCATAAAACCTTAGTCCAAGGGTGCTAAGTACAGAAAACTTATAGAAAGGAGTAATGCAAAGAGGATTAATCACACACATGTACCCACACATGTGCACATGTGCACACATACACACACAAAATTTTGGAAGTGTAAAGCCTAGTGACCATCATAGCTCACAGACCATTTTTATGCTTTAGTATATTATTTTTAAACTGCAGTTTTAAAGTTATTGTCAAAGGCCAATATTTGTAAGACTACAGTTTTTCAGAGAAGTTACTAAAAGATTTATCAATGTTTTATTGTACTGCAAATCTTTTTGTCACCAAAAATACCTATGCACACCTTCAAAGCCTTCTCAATTCCCAGAAAACTTCTCTTAGAATGGGTGGAGAGGAAATTAGTGGTAGAGAACTGATAAGCATTTATAGTCAAGAAGGCATGACTCAACAAAAATACTTAGGTCCTAATGCTTTTAGTGGTGGTGAATTCAATATGAACACTTAACTTTAAAAGCCTTCTATTGTCACATATTAATGGAAATGAAATACTTATTAACATATTTAAGCTGTCAAGATAGTAGATTAAATATTTTAAGTTGCTAAAGAAGTAACTTTATCTGCTGAAAACTGAGTCAGAAAAACAAACAGTTGTCTTCTGGGTTGCATTTTCACGTGTTTTGATTTTGGAAATGTCCTGTAATACTCATATATTTTTAGCTATCTAATGAATGTCTCTAAAGAATGCAACTCATCTACAGTCTTTATGCACTTAGAGATGAAGTTGGTTTTTAGTTTTCTTAAATAGCCAAGTCAGCAAATCCAGGGCCCTTTTAATAATCTTCTACTAAATGTGACAACTTGAAGAATTCTTTGGCATATGATTCGGAGCAGTAAGTACTCTGTAGACAGTAGAGGCCAAGACTGCTGTAGGCCAATAGTCTCTGCAACTTAAAAAAAAAAAAGAAGGACTCTGGCTGGGAAGTTTATTCATTTTTCCTTTTCTTTGTATTAACAGAAATAATGGATGACTGTTCAACTAATTGCAATGGAAATGGAGAATGCATTTCTGGCCATTGTCATTGTTTCCCAGGATTCCTTGGACCTGACTGTGCCAGAGGTAATGTTGTTCTGTGAGTCTGACTGATTTAAGGAAATAGATGCATTTGAGAATCCAGACTTAGTAGAAACAATAATAACAATAATCAGAGAAGCAACAACAACAGCAGTGTGTCTCACAGTTGCTACCCAAAACTGAACAGTTACTATGCCTGTCACTGTACCAGACATTTTGCATTATTTCTTTTAATTTCGATTCCTTAAAATGAATAGATCTATGAAGTAGCTCTAATTTTATCCTTGTTTTATGAGGAAAGAAAGATCTTTAAGGGGCTTAAATAACTTAGCTAAGTTATATTAAAAAGGAAGTTTGTGCTCAGATTGACTGGTCTGGCTACTTTACAATGCTTATATTTTCCTCACAAATTAATTCATAATAGACTGAGTTTTAAAAGAGGCAAAGTTAGTAAGGGCTTATATACATCAATGTAACTGGAAGGAGTTGCAGCAAAATGGGTAAGTAACCTACAATGTAAAAACTAGAAAGTGAAAAATTAAACTTGGTGAACTTTACTGTTTCTTTGACTGCCTCAGAATTTAGTTCTTGAAAATTTTGGGTAAATCACACTATTTTCCCCTTAAGCTGATAGTTACGACTTTGCAGATGCTTTGTATTCGTTTCTATTAGCCAAACTTAAAGTTTCCAGTCTGCTAATCTCGTATTGCTAAGACACTCAGTTTCTGTAGATGAAACTTCAAAACACAGAGAATCATAAAGTACGTGTTACATTCCCAGCACCATGACAGGACATGAGTAGGAGATAGGAGTAGAAATGCAGTAAGCATCACAAAAGTGAGAAAGCAGAAGAGACATACTCTGTACTCAAAAAGCCCACAATTTTAATAGGAAGACATACAATGAGAAAGCAGAAAAATTTCTCTAATAAAATTTTGCACACTGTGTTACACAAGTAGACACCTGTCCAATATAAACCTAATCACAGGGCTTTATAATATTTTATGTGAATATCTGAGTAACCCCTTAGTTACTCATTTTTTAAATTTCAGTTTCTTGCTTCCTAAAAGCAATATGCATCTGCTTAAGGAAGAAAACCCATGAGAGAGAAAACCTCAAAGTGTGGAAATGTCTATCTTAGGGCCGGCAAGATAGCTCAGAGGACAAAATGCCTGTTTTGGCAAGCGCAGGGACCAGGGTTTGATCCCTGGTCCCATATGCCATGCTGGACACCCCCTCCAGGGCATGCTGAGCCAGTGACTGAGTCCCAGCATTGTGGCGCATGCCTGTAATCCCAGTGCTGGGGAGCTTGAAAACAAGAGGATCACCATGAGTCCTATCTGGGTAGTGAGACCCTTTACCAAATTTATAAATGAAAAATCTCTAACTTAAAATGTTAATAATAATACATTAAGAATATGTGGGGTCAAAAGAGCATGGTGGGATCATAATATTTTTGCAACTAATCTCTACCCCACTCCTGTAAGAAAAACTTTTATGTTTATTGTCATGAACATGTGCCAATTTAATAAAGGGTAAGGAAGAAATAGTACACTTTCTTGCCTGAAATATCTTACAAGAATCAATAGATAATTGCTATTTGGAGATTTCAGAAGCATATCAAAACAATAAAAGTTCATTTGCCACCCTTCAGATTCATGCCCTGTGCTGTGTGGTGGGAATGGAGAATATGAAAAAGGACACTGCGTCTGCCGGAATGGCTGGAAGGGGCCAGAGTGTGACGTTCCAGAAGAACAATGCATTGATCCAACGTGCTTTGGCCACGGCACCTGCATCATGGGAGTCTGCATCTGTGTGCCAGGATATAAAGGAGAAATATGCGAGGAAGGTCAGGGCTTCATTTTAATCTATTGCCTCAGGCATTTTTCTCACTGAATCTTCCAAGGTGTCATTTTGTAATTCTAATACAGAAGCAAGAGGGCTTTGCAAACAATAGGTCTTTCATATGTCCTTAGTACATGATCAGGGGGCTGGAATCAGGAAAGCTCCTGCCTCTTCTGACAGTGCCTGACATCATCTGTGTGACTGTATCTATGACACCTGCAGAGTAGTAAGGAAAAATTGTGGTTTTCTCCTTATTTCTATACAGCTTCATAAGTTGAGAATTTCCATATTAATGATTTTAGCTATTAATTCATATGCTTTCTTTATTAGAGAGAATATTATGCTACATCTCACTTTAAAGAACGCAATAAAAATAATGACATATGCACATTTGGAGCCGTTTTGCAAATGTTTTCTTTGGGAGTGATTTGTAATTACCATATTATTATTGCTTTATATTATTTATTTTTACACGCCGCATGCTGAAACTTGACCTTTATGCCTAAGAAACCAGGCTTATCACTAATTAGTTTCAAAGCAGTGCCTTTATATTTAATTCACCCCAGAGGACTCTTTATAAAAATATTTTGAAGTGGCAATAGTCATATTACTTAAAGAGACACATTGGAAAATAAGTTTACTAGTAATCAGACCTTTTTCATGCTGCATTCCTCAAATAAGACTGATTTCAGAAATAATATTAAACCATTACCATGGGAGATAGTCTCATCACAACTGTTGTTCAGGAAAGAGGTTGCTGAAAATGCACTATAATTGCTTTTTAAAGATGGCTCATTAAGACTATTACACAGCATTCTAAAGGGTTTAATCTCATTCCACTCCATGAACAAGCAAGACTTTAGCTTTCCACCTCCCATTAGCAACAGCAGAAATTTGGTGTGAAAATTTTATCTGTTTGAATGAATGGCATTAGGCCTATGGAAAACTCTAGAATTCCTATTACCTTTGGAAATGGCTTCTATGATGATATTTTCAATAAAATATAACTATTTTATACTTAAAATGTAAATTCTGATGCTGCATGCGACACACAAAGCCAAAAAATAATAGTGTCTATCATAACATTTCAACTTGTCATGAAGATCACACAACCCTTCTAATTTAAATCTTTTAAGCTACTGAAAAATAATTTAGTTTAACTTGACCTACTTCACCATCACTAAAACATTTTGTAGAACAGACAAAAGAGCAAGGAAGAAGGTTCACCATATTTAATGCAATACACTTTACACATGCAATAGAAAATGTATTTTAAGTCAGACATCACAGACCAAGAACTCACAGGCTAATGCAGGCACATAGGTGGGCTTTTCTTTAGCTCATGTAAACAGTGGTGCTATTGGTTTGTGTGACTTAGTTGCCTAAGTTTAAAAAGTAAAAAAAAAAAATGCAAGGAAGTACCTATTTCTGGCTACTCTTGGTCACAAGAAAATCTGGTCACCCAGGGCCCTCATTGCTACATGATGGCAATCAGCTGAATCCAGGTAGCAGCAGTTCCTGTTAAAATGAACACTTGGTTTTAGTTAGTGTCTAACACATCCTATTTTCTTAAATCCAGCCCATTTCATCTGTGACTGGCCATTATGGCTTTGTGCCTCCAAATTAAGTATGACTTACAGGATATAAATCTCTATGTGACTATAATGTAGTAGGCCTCTAAAGAAAATAATCTTTGTGAAGTTGAAGAAAAAAAGAAAAAGAAAAGAAAAGGCAGGCATGATAGTGCACATCTGTAATCCCAGCACTCAAGAAGCTGAGGCAAGAGGATCATTGCAAGTTTGAGGCCAACTTGGGCTACAACGTGAGCTCATGGACAGCCTGAAATTCATAGTGAAACCCTGTCTCAAAAAGACAAGAAAAAGACAAATATTGCTTTGCTTATTAAAGTTGTTTTACTTGAATATAGCAAAACAGAATTATTCTAAAAAGATTCTACACTTCATATCTTCTTGTTCCAAATGATCAATCAAATTAGATTTACCTTTGGGTATTTATTTGCTGGTTAGCTTAGGTATTAAAATATTGTGATAATGACCTTTAGATCTTGGTCTAATTATCATGGCAATAAGCTAATTATAATAGTGCTTAATTAGACTTAGTTGATTCCATGGCCACAAGCCACCATAAAATTAGGCCAGTCTTGCAAATGCAAGCAAGTTGCATCAATCTACTTCCATTGCTGCAAAAGTAATGCAATATGTATATCCTCATTATGAATTATTTCATCTTTAGTTGCTTAATTATTGTTTATATACATCAATACATTCATAATCAATGTTTCTTAATCAAATTTAGATAATAATCAATTTTAAATCTTCAGTCATTGATCACTTTTATGTTTTTGGAGTTTCATACATTTTTAGTCATTTTGAAATACATCATAAGAGGTTTGTACCTCTAACTGCCCTACTCTACTGAAAAAGAACTAAGAGTGACCTATCTCCTTTCACTATAGTTATGGTGCCACTTACTGAATTTCTCTCTGCCACTTTCCACCCTAGCACTTCTCATCACTAGAGACCACTATTCCAATATGTTATTATACAAGTTTGGCCTGTTGGCTTCCACAAATGAGTGAGAGCATGCAGTATTTTGTCTTTCTGTGTCTTTCTTCTTTTGCTCAAAAAGCTGTTTTAGTCTCCTCTGCTTTATAAAGGAAGGGTAAATACTTGGAAGTCAAACTTCCCATTTCTTATAGAATGTTACCCAGAAAAAGCACAAAATAATTTTGCCCCAAGCCAGTAATAGGTATCTATCTACCTTTAAAATAATTTACACATTGGCTAAAATAAACAGGAAAAAAAGTTCAAAATTATGGACTCAGAGACAAACGGAATTTGGTCTACAACATCAGAAGCTGTGTCACAGTATCCTGATAGGAAAGCTATAAAGAAAATAATTTTTAAGTTAGGTGTGAAATACTATATTTTCAGTACTTCTATGGAATAATTGAGAGAATATAGCACATTGTTTTACCATATTACTTCGTGCAACAGAAGTCATCTCAACCCAATAACTTGAATAATCCAAACATAAAATTTTATGTAAAGTTAAAATAAAACTATGATTTCAATTTTGGAAAGGATAGGAAATTCTTTAGCAAAAATTCTTGGGCTTTTTCCAAAGCTGAGGAGTTCCTATTGAAGGCATACACTCATCTACCCACCATTTGTGTGGGAGTACTGCACACTACTCACAGTTTCACAGAGCATATAAGTGGTTTTCTTATTCTAAGTTTAGGTTGCAACCTTTATGAAACTCAACATATTTTTTAGTGTTAATAATCTTCTGGTTTGAACACAATGTCTGCATGAGTCATTTTATTGCTTAATTAGAGCAGCATTAACGATACGATACCAGGAAATCAATGTGAGTGTCTCAGTTTTATTATCCCACACTTATTCTTATTAACCTTTCCTCTCCCCTTTTTTGGGCTTTCAGAGGATTGCTTGGACCCGATGTGCTCCAGCCATGGCATCTGTGTAAAAGGAGAATGTCACTGCTCTACTGGCTGGGGAGGAGTGAACTGTGAAACTCCACTTCCCGTATGTCAAGAGCAATGCTCAGGACATGGGACTTTTCTTCTGGACACTGGAGTATGCAGCTGTGATCCCAAGTGGACAGGATCAGACTGCTCAACAGGTATATTAAAATTGTATCCTTATCTTTTTTTATCTTCTCCCAAGTTCTAACTGATCCTTCTTTTAAGGTAGTGCTCTTAGACTCTGATGCATATGCTTTCATGAGTTCTAAGAGGGTTCTAGGTGTTTCCTAGGTTAGCACTTCATTGTATTTTCATTGACAACATGTTATTGCCTGTTCCTTATGTTCATCTTATTTTTTCACTGACAACTCTTTTGAAGTTTCATTTTCATTTTATTTTCTCTCATGATTATTTTACTAGTTCCCAAGTCTTCTACTATCAGGTACACACAAACTACTTCTAGTAACTGTCGTTTACAACTTGAATGGTAGGGCATTTTCACTGGGTGGCCCAATGACTAAAAACACAGCCCAGCACAGAAAATCTATTTTATATAATTACATTTTGCTGCTTAATTAGCTTTTTTTGTATAACATAACTTTTCTTTTCTCATTCCCCACCTGTTATAGTTGTGTCTAGTTGTCCCTTAAAAGCCTTGAAATTTCCTCCACCAGGATAAGTAATCTATTCCCTTTAATCTAAGTCTCTCACAAAGTCTCAGGACATGAGCAAAATGTAGACATGTTTTCTGCCAGAAGACAAGATACATGCCATAGAGTATTCCTGGAAGTGGAGTCCTTGTTCCCACTGGAAACCTCCTAAGCCTGGTCTTTACTATCTCTATTTTTACAAGCCTTCTGGTCTTCTGAGCTTTGACCACAGTCTCTCATGAAGCTTGGCTCACAACACTCTGTTACTTCTCTAATTCGTATCTCCAACCTTTTCCAAACTCCTCCCATGAACCATTTCCAAAGATTTCTAAACTACATGGTAAGGTAGCAGTCACAGCAATGACCCCACTTCTTTAGTACCACAATCATTTTCAGTCATTTTCTCATTGCTTGGGCAAATACCCAATACCCACAATCTAAAGGAGAAGAGGTAAGTTTTGACTCAGATTTACAGTTAGTGGTAAGTTGGCTCTAAGGCAGAAAGGCATGATGGAAGGGCTGAGACAGAGAGAAGCTGCTCACACCTTGACAGCTAGAAACAGAGAGAAAGGAGAAGACAAGAGGGAGGTATACCCTTCTGTTTTACACTGCCAGTGACCTGCCTCTTCTAACAGGGCCCTATCTCTGAATAGCCAATCAGCTATATCACTCGCATGATTTGGGCATCTTCCAAAACTCCCACTTATGAGCACATGATGTCTTTCATGGGCTATTGTTCATCTAAATCACAGCAATAGCTCCTCCCTTTCTTCAAGGAAACTTCAAATTTTCCAGCCTGCTATCAACAGGTCAGCATAAACTATTCCAAATCTTTTAATCTTTAGTCAATTATCCACTTTTGCTTCCTGTATAAATTTTTCCTTCTTCCCACATAGCGTGTAGGCTCTCTTTGCCACCAGTGCATCATGATTTCAGTTTTTTTCATGATGTTCCCTGAGTACTGAGTATTTTTACCTTTCCACCAAAGAAACACTAACCAGTCAATCAACAACTGCAATTTGAGTCATTCCATACAACATTATGTGTTCACATCAACAAAGTTTCCTGAGCTCTATCTCATATGTATTGCTAGAGAGCACTGACAACATTGTGATCTGGATATTCGTGCGCACTGCTTGTTTGCTCACGAGTTTGAAGCACTGAAAAGAATGAACTGTTCTTCTTACTTTGTATCTTCATATTATCTGCTCATTAAATGAGTGGAATTTAGAAAAGGTTACCTCCTACAGACCCTATGAATTTTGTTTAGGATGCAACATGGAATGTGATAAAGCAAAAAGATGAGTGTTCTGCTTAACTGTTGAGACCCCTGAAGTAACTCATGATCTGAAGTATGTGATCAATCTTAAACTAAGGAAACAAGAAGATCCCCCATTGAGATAATTAATTTTAACATAAAACTTTATTATAATTATAACTATACTTCCCTGAAATTTTATTGTCTCACACAGAAATAATATGGGTGAGGAATTACATTTTAAAATTTCAGAAAACAATGACAATGCTAATCTAATAATAACTGAAGTGGTAATTGTAAAAATCATGTTCTATGTATTGAACAAATATACATGTGCCAGCTGAGTGCTTGACTGAGTGCTTGGTGCCAACTCCTCTGTCAGTCCAAACAACCCTACTCAGAATAAAAAAGATTAATTGATGAGAGAAAATTACTACCCCATCCTCTAGTTTTGATTTAAATGGCTCTTACAGCTCTGCATATAAAGGCTTAGTTGTCAACATGAAACATTATTAGAAAGTTAAGAGACCTCAAAAAAGTGAAGCCTCATGGTAGGAATTTACCTCCTTGGAAGTGTGCCTTTAAGGGTGACTGTAGAATGATGATCTTTCACTCTTCCACTTCCTGAGCACCAGAGGTTTGATACAGTGACAAAAAGCTGACAAACACAGCCCCATAGACTAACGGCTCTTAAAGAAATATCTGGTTTGACGCTTCTCAAATATGGTGGTGTCTGGTATGACTTCCTTAGCATTCCTGAAGATTCTAATGCACGCGATGGGTTAATTGGTCTGCAGCTGTGACAGTTACTGAAATAGTCTTACCTCCTCACATCTCATTCTTTTGTCCTTTATTGCACTTCTGTTATGTCTTCATTAGCATTTGAGTCAATATTGTGTAGAGAAGAATAAAATATGCTATCTATGGTCAGCAATATAAACGTGAGCAAACATAAAATATCTTACATTAAGTCCTAAAAGCCATTAGGGGCATATAAATACAGTAGTGTCATAATCATACTTATATTTTAGAAAATAACACTGGGAATGGTTTAGAGAATATAGCAAAAATGATGAAAATTTGATATAAAGGAATTTAAATGAGGATGCAAAGGACAGATATGACAGAAGGTGACTAGGATTGGGGACTGCGTGGATATACAAGAAGGTAGATATTGTATTACCAATGGCTCTGATTTCTATAAGGAGAGAGTGCTTGAAATGTAACATTACTTACTAAGTGAGATATGAAATATTCATTTATTTACCTAAAAATTTTTCATTGAGTGTCTACTATGTGTTATACTCTGGGGATACATCAATGAGGAAAAGAGATTCCTATATTAGTAGAGCTTTAGTCCGTCAGAGATGTAGAAAGACAGATGTTAAATAATGAGCAATAAATACACATTTTTAAAACATGAGGAAGTTGAGAACTAGAGAAGTTTAATTACTGGTTCAAGGTCGCAGACCTAGCTAGTGGCAAACCTGCAAATAGAAAGCAGGTCTGCTGTTTTTCCATTGTCTATAGTGTGTATATCAGCTGCTCAACCTTATCCTTCCCAAAGGAGGACAAAAGTTGGACAAACAGAAAAATCAAGTGGAAAATCTACCTTACCAAAAAGGAGATGAAGGGCATCTCATACAAAGTACATAAATGGTACATTTTTGTTCAAGAATCCTGAACTAAATCCATGTATATTCATTCTGGATCTAATAGAAAAAGTTCACCAGAAGCATGTCTCATTCACAAAAGCAAAAGTATACACAGATATGTTCACAAACTCTTTAGTCTTTCAAATAAATACATTTCTAATAAAACTACCCAATTGACAAGTAGGAACAGGATATGTCTTCCAGGTTTGGAATGACAAGTAGGCATAGTCTTTATGTGATTTTTAAACTCTGGAAAGGTTGTTCCCACAGAGCATATTTAACCATTGAGATGATCTCACTACACAGACTTTTAATTGAGTCTATTTAGTGCAGGAAGCAATTTAACATATAATTCCTATGATGGATCATATCATTTCATAGGTGGATATACTCTTTGCAATTGGCCATTTTCTTCCCCTAAGCACATGGCGCTTAACGGTTAACATGCTCTTTGTGCTTCTTTATTACCAAGAGGAGTGCCATGACTGATTTAGTGATTTTCAGTCTGTAACTCCATGTACTGTACCTTGAGTATTGTTACATCCCTCAATTGCTACTTGATAAAGACTTCTTTAACCTGATAGTCTCGTGGCACTTGACAAAAGTTAACTCATTTATCTTTAAATATATGCCACGGAGAATACGACAAAGCTTGTTATGTCCCAGTATAGATTTGAAAATACCACAAGTCCAATTATGCTCCCTTAAAACGTAATTCTCTGGTATATAATCTCAGTAAAATGTATTGAACCTCACTTCTGCGATCAGCATTATAACATGTATCTACCATATTTGTTTTGTAAATTTTTTTCTCCTTCACATAACCATTGAAGGGGAGAATAAGTTAGAATTTAAGACTTTGAACTCTTATGTTCTTGATGAAAATTCCTCCGAGCCACTCCCTCTATTGATACTTGTGAATAACAGCCAATCATGGAAACAATCCATTTCTATTGAGAAGACAACTCGTAGCATTTTTCTTCCACAATCTCTTCTTTTTATAATGTGTCTTAGAAGTATGTTTATCAACCAGAGAGATAAGGAACATTAGACCCTAAGGTGTTTCTGAACACACTATATGTAACACAATAGAAATCATATGATGTACCATCTCCATGTATCCTATCCATTAAGGGTTTTCTTCGTAAATTGTCTGAAGGTTTTATCATAAAGACACTAATTTTTATGTCATTCTATAATTATATGTCACTTGGAGCCTGAGAAAAATTATAATATGGTGTGTGTTTGTGTCTGTGTGTGTGTCTGGGTTTTTGTTGCACACTTGTATTCACTTTCAGAAGCTCACTCAAATTTTTAATATTTGTGAAATAGTAGGAGGTTAATGAAAAGAGCCTTGAGATCCCTTCCAACTCTCAGATCTGAGTCTTGATTGTGTATATTAAACTATTCACACTGATTCTAAATGGCTTGTAGATATATTCCATAAGCTTTCTGAATTCTATAATGTTTCTAGTAAGAAAATACTCATCAAAAATAGCTTTGTTATCATTGAAAGGACATACATACTTTGATATATAGACCATATTATTTGAGGATTTGTCTCTATACATGTGGATACACATGCACAAACATAA